CTTTTTTGGGGATAGTTGATGATAAAACGAGTACCACACCTGTATTTTGGGGCATTAATAGGATGTGTTAGAAATAAACGCTGTTTGAAGCTCTCTAAGGCACAGTAAATACAATAATCAATGTTTATTACGAACACGCTTATAACGGACTGGCGGCTGTGACGGTCGTTTTAGTCCGGACGGTTGTTTTAGACAAAATGTGTATTACAAACTAACATTGGCGGTCCTTCTGAGGTAGTTATTAGCATAGTTTACTGTACTTAGTAAGTGTAACCGCCTCCGTGGTGTAGTGGTTAGAGCGTCCGCCACGAGAGCGGAAGGTCGCGGGTTCGATCACCGACCGCGTCATACCAAAAGACGTTAAAATATGGTACTTGTTGGTCCCTGCCTGGCGCTCGGCATTAATGGGTACAAGAAGGACTGGTCGGCTCGGAGTCAGTATAATGTGTCTGAGTGGGGTATTCATGCTTCACTGCGGCATGGTATCTCAGTGGGCTAGCACTATAAAACCAGCTTAAGTCTGGGCTAGTACAAGCAGCCGCACATACACATACACACGCATGCACGTCGTCATATGAGCGAAATATTCTCAAGCACGACGATAAACCCAATTTCACCTCACCACCTCACTTAGTAAGTGCCTATTCCTCATCGAAGATATATCCCATATAGGGCTGTAACGATGCATCGAACTATCGATGGATTGCAATTGTTGAGTCTCCGATAGCAATTAATCGATGTCGGAAACGAAAAACTATCGATATGTCGATAGTATCTGTGACAATCGATAGTTTAGTAGTTGACTTCCGTTGATAAATGCGCAGCGCAAAATACCGGATGTTTGGGGGCTGACTTGCAGCTTCACTGAGTTTATGTGTTAACTGTTTCGTTGATCTGAGTTTCTTGTCAGTTATCAAGAGAAACCACATCAACTTGTTTTTATTTCATATGAACTATACATTCATTGGGGAAATTACTTCAAATTCAAGAGAAAAAGTTGGTCGCAATAGTATATTCTCCCAAAAAAGAAACGCAAATAGGAATTTCAACTGTATTTTTATGTTTATTTTGGAAACATCTTGTAGGCTTTATGAGTCAATGAAATATAGCGAAATTGCACACTTGGAATGCAGACTTATCCGTCTTTGGCACCAACTCGAGGAAAGTCAGTTTGAGTGTCACATGGAGACGTGTGGTGGCGCTGAAGTCAATACCTCGTGTCACCACCGTGGGCATCCAGAACTGCACGGCATCGCCTCGGCATCGAACGAATAAGTCTCAGAATCTCGTGTTGCCCAATCGCAGCCCACTCTGCCTGTAGTGCATTTGCGAGTTGCTGAAGTGTCTGGGGCTGAGGGTTACGGCGTTTCACCCCTCTGTCCAGGGCATCCCACAGATGTTCGATCGGGTTTAAGTCCGGTGATCTTGAGGGCCAGGGGAGCACATTGATGTTGTGGTTCTGGAGGAAGTCTCTAGTGTGACGTGCTGTGTGGGGCCTGGCATTGTCCTGTTGAAACAACTCCCTCTGGCGACCAATGATTGGAAGGAGGTGTGGGCGTAAGATTTCGACACAGTACCGTTGAGCTGTCAGGTTGCCCTGATCATCACCAAATCACTGATCGTGATTCGTGATTTATCACTGAACCAGATTCTACGCCAATTCGGTAGGTTCCAGGCCTGAACGTTGGTGCACCATTGAACTCGATGTCGACGATGTTGTTGTCGAAGCACAGGGCCAAAATAAGGTCTTCTGGCACGTAAACCAGCCTCTCTCAACCTGTTCCTGACGGTCTGTGCAGAAAGCCTCCTCAATCCGGGTATTCTGCCGGCGATACCTCCCAGAGCCGCCGTGAAATGGTGCTTTGGTGAACATTCATGCGTCGGGCAACTGCACGATGAGACTGGCCAGCTTCAAGCAAACCAATGGCGATATGACGGTTGGCTTCACTTAGACGTGGCATTTTGCGTTCGTCAACAATATTCCAAATACAGTGAATAATCGACAGACAGCGATCAACCTTTTATACCCATCATTGAGACTATCTGATCCCCAACTTTCACGTGCATTGCATGTGAATTGTGTATTCTGTGACACTACACGCCGAAATTGAAAATCATGCTGTTAAATACGGGTATTTTACGGATGGTGTGTTTTGTTGTGATGTTTCAAAACATAAACACCATAGGACTCATAAACAGAGCAAAACCTTTTGTAAAATGAATCACGTTTTAATTCATTGCTACATGAAATTGCTATTTTCATTATGCGTTTCTTTTTGGGACAGTATATGTTGCAACAGTTGTTTCCCCTCAATAGTCATCCCTAATCCCAGAACACACTGGCGTGATCAACACTATTTCTGTTCCCATTAACCAGACAGATACACAGATACGCAAACTTAACTACCCCATTAGGCAGGGGAAACACCTCAGGGAGGTTCCCGTACCTTCTGTTTTGACCTCCAAAAGAGTCATGTTCTAGCACTTCAAGCCCCCCGGGTGATGGAACGCATGTTTTTATCATACAAGTCACCGATGCCTATCTCATGGGCAGGGAACAATTAAACTGAATGTCAGATAAAATCTGCGGGAATTATGTTTTTATAAATAACATGAATATTCACCTTCACAAAGAGGGTACCTTGTCGAGGAGCAGACGAACAGGATCAGCTGATAGGTAAGTTTTGGGTTGTTTTGGGGGGTTTTAAAGACGCATTCAGCAATATTCTAGCGTTAAGGCGGCGGTCTGTAGATAATCGAGTGTGGACCAGACAATCTTGTGATCAACATCGATCTGTAGACGATACGACCAAGTGTCAACCAAGTCAGCAAGCCCGACCACCCGATCGTTCTAGTCGCGTCTTACGACGAGCATGGGTTGTCAAAGACCAATTCTAACCCTGATCTTCGCGGGTGATACGTAAGTGCAACCTTTGGGCTAGGTTTATCTACACTATACGTAACAGTGAAAAATATGCGTCCGTAAAATAGACACGAACCGCCATTCCTCGGACCTCAGTACGTTGCAGAAGCGCTAGTAAAATCTACATTTGCGTCACTCTGAAACATTGAAGGGAGAGATGGGTAGTCTTGTGGCTCAGGCGTTCGCTCGTCAAGCCGAAGCCCCGGGTTCGATTCCCCACATGGGTTCTGGTGTCTTCTCCTTTGATACTGCTGTAATATTGTTAAAAACGGCTAACACCCATCCTCACTTACACAGCCTATCTTCACGAACGAAACTGGGTTGATGATCATGAATATCTTTGGGAGATATTATGAGATTGTGCTCATCTACTTTAAAAGTTACCCTCAACTATTTTTAAGTGAGTACTGACAAAATGATGACCGCCCTATGATGTGCAGTGGTGTTGTAAGAAAGCTTTCGTTTCTGTTCTGTTTTGCGTGGTTCAGTGGATAGCGTCTGATGTTACAGGAGGGTATCGTACCAGTAAACAAGTCTAAGGCCGGATTAATACCACACCTCACCTCACCTCACCTCACCTCACCTCACCTCACCTCCTCACCTCACCACACCACACCACACCACACCACCACACCACCCACCACACCACCTCACCTCACCTCACCTCACTCCACACCACACCACCCAACCCCACACCTCACCTCACCTCACCTCACCTCACACACACACACCACCCACCACACCACCCTCACCTCACCTCACTCCACAGACACCAACCAACCGCACACCACACCACACCACACCACACTACACTACCTCACCTCACCTCACCTCACCTCACACACACACACACCACCCAACTGCACACCACACCCACCTCACCTCCCTCACTTCACCTCACTCCACACACACCACCCAACTGCACACACCACAACACCTCACCTCACCTCACTTCACCTCACACCCACACACACCACCAACCCCACACCACACCACCTCACTCCACCTCACCTCACCTCACACACACCACCCAACCCACACCACACACTACCTCACCTCACCTCTCCCCACACCATACCACCCAACCCCACACCACACCCACCTCACCCCACCTCACACACACACCACCCAACCCCACACACAAACCACACCACACCACCTCACCTCACACACACACCACCCAACCCCACCACCTCTCACACCTCACCTCACCTCACCTCACCTCACCTCACCACACCACACCACACCACACCACTTCACCTCACCTCCTCCAACCCCACCCCAACATTACAGTTATCGGCCTAGTAATTATTGGATACGATGTTATTTGCCAATCAGGTCAGCTGCACTCCGTTGATTAGCTACTATCTTTATGGGCGTGTCGAGTGAATAAAATAAACAATTGTCCTATCACGCCACAACATGTAAATATCTGCCTGGAATATCTACCTCGGCTTTACTTTGTTTTGAGTTATACGATTGTTGTTTTATTACAACCGTGTACGTTATACACATTTTCGATGTGGAATAGTGTCACAATATTCATTTTGTATAGGGCACGAGTACGTCACGAGACCTTAGTACTTCCGGTGACAAACATCGTTTCATACCTTTTCGAATGGTCTCATGGTTGTCAGTTGACAGTAAGGAACTGATAATCCTTGCAGGAAAAATTTCCGATCTAACCATCCCCAAGTTAGCCAACTATTACGACTGTTAACACCTGTGACAACCAAGCATGGTTGTACACTTGGTCCGGTAGAGTAAAGTTATGTTTGGCAGTAGCGCAATTGGAACCAGAAGTGGTTCTTGAATATACACCTGTCACCGGAAACTGGTACCGGAAGTAAGCTGGGCATCATCTCGCATATCGTAAGTTGGTGCAAAGGGTGCCGGGAAGCAGCTTCGTACCGGAAGTAGCGCCTCGCGGGACTTACAGGCCCTATGTATTCGGCTAGTTGTGCATGAATCAAAAAGCGGATGTTCCAACTTTTGAAAAAAACGCGTTTTTCGATTAGTTGAACAATTGGTTTTGTTCAATGCTAACACTAACACAAATTATTTATTGCAGATATCGGACATAATGGCTGCTGTTACACATTGCTAGTTCTGGTCATTGTCACCGTGAGCACGCACTGCGCTATCATGCGGAGAAATGGTACGTACGGAACTTCATCAAATCTCTCACTCCCTTTCCAACACACCTCTTCAGGAACGAAACCGTGAAGTGCCAGTTTAGAACTGATCTTCTGGGCTTAGATTTTCGAAGCTCTCTTAGCGCTAAGATAGTCGTAAGTTAATGTTAATGTATGGCACTTACGACTATCTTAGCGCTAAGAGAGCTTCGAAAATCTAGGCCCAGTAACCAATGCTTGTCGTATGAGACGACTAATGGGATCGGGTGGTCAGGCTCGCAGACCTAACTGCCTAGATCGATGCTTACGGTATCAATCACTGGTTTTGTCTGGTCCAGATTCGAATATTAACAGACCTCCACCATATAGCTCGAAATACAATACAAGTATGCTGTTTAGCAACAACGAAACAAATATCCAGTAAAAAACAGAAACACATTCACGCAACTGCCTTACAAAACCTAATAAAATACCTTCGATAAATAAACTCACATTTTCACGCAGACGTTTAAGACAATGCTTACATGTGTATAAAATGTTCAGTTTGGCGTACAAACATATATACTCGTGAAAACAAATAAGGGAACACAAGAAAGTACAAGCGTTCCTTTATTTATTTCCAGAATTTCACCCACAGTGCAATACATACCTTGTGAAGAAACTTGGAAAAGAATAAAGGAACACTTGTACTTTCATGTGTTCCCTTATTCGTTTCCATGCGTATAAAACAGGGAACGGTCGATCCAGTCATCTGAGGCTCACACGTAGCTGAGTTACGTCCCTTGGTGACACCAGGATCTAGGTTTGTCAGCGCCATACCTGTTCTCGTGGGTTTTCACTTCAGGCTTTTCTTAAACACCAAGCTACTCTAGCCAAGTGGCTAAAGCGTTCGCCCGTCACGCCGAAGACCCGGGTTCGATTCTCCACATGGGTACAATGTGTGAAGCCCATTTCTGGTGTCCCCCGCAGTGATATTGCTGGAATATTGCTAAAGGGGGCGTAAAACTATGTTCACACACTCACTCACTCGTGTAGATGTGGGTAGATATGCACCGTGCAACTAATCCTTACCTTGAGTTGCACAATGGTTGCACTAGCCACACAGGTGACTTCTTTAGAAGCAGGTTCCCGATCTACAAAGCGTTCGTAGCGCTACGATATTCGTAAGACTATGATAAACTATAGTTACGACAGGTCGTAACGTTACGAACGCTTTGTGGATCCGTACCCTGAGTCTCCTTTTTAAGTAAATTTTCGCTTAATATTCTAAAGTACCTTCACCTGTTTTCAACAGCGCTCTCTCGAGACAAGAGGTCGACAGGAGCGGCTTGCATCACCAGCTGCAGCGGACGTACCAACGGTGACTACCAGTCCTGTGTGTCATGTCGGTTTTATGCCACGTGTGATAATGGCTTGCTGCGGGATCGGCGAGAGTGTCCCTCGGGTCAAATCTGGGATGACAGTCTCAAACAGTGCGAGATTACAAGCGCGACTTGCACAGTGCCCACTAGTATGACGACAACCAGCGCCACGACAACTAGCGCCACCACGACTAGCCAAACGAGGTGAGTTTACATGATGAAGGTGAGTGAGTATGGTTTTACGCCTCTTTTAGCAATATTCCAGCACTATCACGGCGGGGGACGCCAGAAATTGACTTATTGTACCCATGTGGGGAATCGAACCTTGGTCTTCGGCGTGATGAACGGAGGTTATATAATGAAGATGAATGAGTATGGTTTTACGCCGCTTTCAGTAATATTCCATCGATATCACGCTTTCACCTCCAAGCTATCCCACTTTGGTAGAACCCATCAGCTGGCACTGAGAAACCAACGACTATAATCCTTAGTGAAGACAGTTGTGAGTACATGTTGAATATTGATCAGTTTGGTGAGTGAGTTAGTGACTGAGGTTAGTTTTATACAACTTTTATCAATATCCAAGCAATATCACAACGGGTGACACCAGAAATGGGCTTCACACATTGTACCTAGGTGGGGAATCGAACCCAAATCTTTGGTTTGGCGCCGCACATCAGTACTACAGCAGTACACTTGACCAGACAATCCAGTGACGCGAGAGGGTGTTTCCTTTTGGAAAGAGTTCTTTCCGTTCCCCCATATTATGTTTGTAACATTACCGTGTCTGGGGCCCTTATCATACAACGTGGTTTGACCCTATATATTGGAATTAATTTTGGGGCTTTTAGTTATTTTTGTGAGTTCTCTAGTAATTGTTGTGTTAATTTATACATATTATTATAATGGGGAAAGGGGGGGAACTCTTACATTACTTTTTTTGGAGAATAATGTTGACTCTGGGGAATATTGTTGATTCTGGCGTTGAACATCGTTCTGGCAATTTCATTTTGACCACTTTTGTCTTGCAGCCCAACCCCTTTCGTAAACCCGTGCATCACGAGTTGTACGGGCAGAACTGCTGGAGACTATCAGTGGTGTCAAACGTGCAAGAAGTACGTCACCTGCGTCAACAACGTCATGATGGTCCGGGACTGCCCGCCTACCTTGGTGTGGGACAACAACAGCAACCGCTGCGAGACGACGTCAACAACATGCGTGGAACCATCAACGACAACCAGTGCTACGACAACCTCGGCTACAACGACTTCTGCTACCACTACCTCGGCAACAACAACCAGCGCAACGTCTTACGTAAACCCGTGTATTACATCATGTGTCGGTCAGTCGAATGGCAATCATCAGTCCTGCGATTCCTGCAACCAGTTTGCGACATGTAATAGTGGGGTGTTCACGGACAACCGACCTTGTCCCGCCGCCACAAGTTGGGATGACAATGAAAAGGAATGCGTTGGCTTGTCAACTACTTGTTTTTAGACAAGTCAATTTTATAAAACCAATTCCTGACAGATGGTCCCTTAAAGACACTATATCACACCACATTTCTCAAAAAATAAATAATGCATTTCTCTCAATAATACTGATTATAAATCCTCGAAGAAGCTACCATATAATTTATTCCAAAAATAATTACGCATTTAGATTACAATATTAAATTAAAAAGTTTGAATTAAATAATGCAACGTTGCATTAAATTAACTCTCGCGCCCTCTACTCGCCGAACATTGTTACAAGTGAACCCCATAGAGTTATGTCCCTTAGAGCGCTCTTTACGAATATCCTACGCATAACTTGTAACTGAAACCAGTTTGGCAAACACCGACAACACCGCGTGCTACAGTTTTCAATGCACGGAGCAATTGTTTACATTCCATATATGGCAAATGTTCTCTGTTTGGAAGCTGTTCGCCTCGAAGTTTCAATTATCGATTTCAGGCAAGTCGTAAGGGATAATAAGTCTTTTGTTGCATCAATAGGAAGCTAAAATGAGTGCATATGCCCCAATGATATTTATAATATAGGCCAAAATATTGTCGGAAATGTGTGACATTGTGCCTTTAAGCACGCCTCTGCGTCCAACTTGAACGAGTGTTTGATTGTCCACAAAAATACATCTGCAATTTGAACAAGATTCTGAATGTGTTTGTTGTTATTTTTAAGGCAGAAGGTCCGGGTTCGATTCTCCTCTGTAGAATGTGCGACGACGTGATTTAGTTGGAATATCGCTAAAAGCACAACTCACTCACTTGGTCGTATTAAAGATCGTATTTGGAATATTCTCATAATCATATTTTGGAATCTGAGGTGAGGTGAAATGGGGTTTATCGTCGTACTTAAGAATATTTCGCTCATATGACAACGGAAATGCGTGTGTATGTGTTGCTGCTTGTACTAGCCTAGACTTAAGCTAGTTTTATAGTGCTAGCTCACTGAGATACCATGCCGCAGTTAAGCATGAATAACCCACACACATTATACTGACTCCGAGCCGACCAGTCTTACGAAAAGGCAAATTCTAGTACCTTTTGGGGTTGAGTCCCATCCGGGATTCGAACCCACACCCTCAGAGTCAGGCACCTAATCGGGTTAGGCGGCTGACTTTGTGTCCTGGCGATTAGGTGCCTGACTCTGAGGGTGTGGGTTCGAATCCCGGATGGGACTCAACCTAAAAAGGTACTAATTTGTACTTTACTAAGAAAGTGTAATCCCAAATATAACATATGTTCCATGATAAAATGGACATTCACACCATCTGGGATTCGAACCGATGACAGGATTCTCTCACACCCCACTGCGCCATGCACACTTGTGGAGTAAATATGGTTTTGCCTCCAGCAATATTTCAGCAGTATGAAGACGGGACACAGCAGAATGGGCTTCTCACATTGTTCCACATCCTCGATAATCTCCAGGGTATACGTTACGATCACCCTCCACTATACCCTGGATGCATCCACATAATTATATTACCTCCCTTTGCTGGCTCCGCTTTCTCACAGTAGCCAATCAGCGAAGCCGCCGTTACAACCGAGCTTGCCAGTGTCAACAAAGATAGCGGTCGCAGTCGCGAAGGTTTGTTGGCAGTACCACTCAGATTTTGGGGGAAATAATACACACAAATTGACAGATCTGAAACTTTTCAAAAAATATATAAAAGAACTCCTTCTACATCTTTCAGAGTACCTCTGCATCAATTGTTTTGCCAAGTTTAAACGGTTAGATAATTTAAGAAGCGAAAGTGAGTTGTGATTGGTTCGCTCAACTTCCCAGCGTAGACACCTGATTGGATAAAAAGCCAGCCAATGGAGGTAGTAAAATCATCGGGCCAAGCCGTGGATGCATGCAGGGTATAGTGGAGAGTGATCGTAACGTATACCCTGGAGATTATCGAGGATGATTGTTCCAGTGCTGGGAGTTGAACAAATGCCCTAGGCGTTAAGAATGAACGCTTTAACCACCAGGCTACCCAACCATCCCTTTATAAATACAGGATATTTTTAGTTCCGGTTGTTCTGATATTTTATTACTCAGAGGTATTACTTGAGATGATAAAATGGACATTCACAACCACTCCCGGTTGCCCGTAGGCTTCAGTCCAATAATAAATACCAATGATAGCTGCCCGTGTCTATAACCACAGATAATATTTTACGAAAGCAAACCAAAAAATATTTATATGACATATATTTCTCAGGACCGCCAATACTTTTCATGGCAAGAGTTACTGGAAATTGAACATTTCTCTTCCCATGATAAAGAATATGTAAAGTTAGTTAAAGATATTATTGCAGAAACTAGTGAATGAGTGAGTTTTACGCCGCACTCAGCAATATTCCAGCTATATGGCGGCGGTCTGTAAATAATCGAGTCTGGACCAAACAATCCAGTGATCATTAGCATGAGCATCGATCTGCGCAATTGGGAACCGATGACATGTGTCATGCAGAAATTAAAGAAGAATATATTGATAGAAGAATTTCGAACGACTCTGAAATGAATGGTGAATATGTTTCTCTTAATATTGATGAGTGTTTTTTATGGAAACCCTGCTGCTGACCATTAAAGGTAAATCAATTTCCTATTCTACATGCTTGAAAAGGAAAAATATATTAGATTAAATTACATTGGAAAATAAAGTCAAGGAAACTGAAGACAATATTAGAAGAAATCTACAAAATATTAATGAATCGCACTTAAGTGATATGCTGAACATAAAAAAAACATGAACAACTCAAGGAAATAGAAATGAAAAGAAACCAGTTTCAAACTAGAATAAAGTGGTATGAAGAAGGTGAAAAACCTGCAAAATATATTTGTAGGAAAACTGGATCTTCACAAACAAAATTATAAATCAGTTGATTCTAGATACTGGAGAATACATCACAGACGGTAATATTTTTTTTTTTAAACAAAAGACGTTTATGAAAACCTATACTCAATGTTACTCATCCTCAAATGAGATTGATGATGTTAGTTTAAAACATTTGAAGAGCTGAAAACTCCAACATTACCAAAATATCTTCAGGATACTCTTGAAAAAGAATTAGAGTTGAATGAAATCTCTTTAGCTGTGAAGTCAATGAAAAACCATAACACCCCAGTAATGGATGGCTTTCCAATTGAGTTTATAATTTCTGGCCTCACTTGAAACATTGGATCTATAGGTATATCAAACAAACATTTGCGAATAATCAGTTAACTATAAATATGAACAGGAGTGTTATAAGATGTATCCCAGAACAAGGAAAAGACAGAAAATATTTTTAAAAACTGGCGCCCCATTTTATTGTTGAATTCTATTTACAAAAATTAATAAGCTCATGTATTACCAATAGATTGAAAAAACAACATTAGGCCTACTAATACACAACAATCAAACTGGTTTCATACCTGGAAGGTGTATTACAGAAAACATAAGATTACGGCATGATGTTCTATTCGAGTCCAAATTTCAAAGGTAAAATGGTCTTGTTTTAATAGACTTAAAAAAAGCTTTTGACACTGTATCTAAAAACCTTGTGACTCATGTCTTAAAGAAATTTGGCTTCGGCCCATAAATGCTGAAATGGACGTCAATATTGATCTTGTGTTATTCAAAATGGACACATGTCTGATTTCTTTTCAAATTTAAGAGGTTGTAGGCAGGGGGACCCTATCTCTCCATATCTCTTCCTGTTGGTAGCTGAAATGTTAGGTATAATGATCAGAAAAAATGTTGATATTAAAGGAATCGTTCTGCATAATAAAGAGCATAAGTTGGGACAATATGCTGATGACACTCAACTTTTCTTAGATGGATCTGAGCTCAGTCTTAAAGCCTCTATGGATACATTAACAAAATTTTATAAAATGTCTTGTTTAAAAATTAATTTATAAAAAAGCAAAGCCAGTCTGCATAGGTGGAATGATTGGCAGCAGTATCAGACTATATCCACAACTTTCAATGCTAGGCTCGAAAACCTCTGGACCATAAACACAAAGATAAAAATACAGACGGAATCTACTAAAAAAATGACATTTAACAATAATTGGCAAAATTACTGTTTCAAAAACCTTAGCTCTCTCTCCTTGGCACATGTATTTTTTGCTTTACCCTATCCTCCTAAATCATTTATTACGGAAATAGAGAGAATCGTTTTCAATTTCATTTGGAATGATAAACCAGATAAGATTAAAAGGGAGTATTTGAAGACGGATTACAGTGAAGGTGGCTTAAGAATGACTAATTTTAAAACTGTTATAGATTTTCTAATGAATGCAACTATCAAGAGAAGCTTTCGTAAAATCAATCTTAGCAACCCAATCAATGTACCAGTTCAGGATTTAATTACTCTGGGAGCAAATATTGACAGTTCCTCAACTGTTGTAAATCCATTTTGGAAAGATCCTGTCACTGCCTGGAAAAGGTATAGATCTAAATTCACCAATGACCAAAACAATTTAGACAATATTTTAGCTGAACCACTGCGAATCATCAATTTAAAAATTGTAATTTTATAATAAGAAATTGGTGTACAAAAGGTATCCATATCATTAAAGTCTTTGCAGTATTTAAAAAGAGGCATGACATGAGAAGTTCATTACTAGACTTCTTACAAATAATTAACAATATTCCGAAATTTTGGACAGATACAATAAATAATGTGAAACATAGCCATGTTAATTTGACTTTACACACATCTGCTCTTAGTTTGATCTCTCCATTAAGAGGCTGTCGAATGTTCTATGATGTCTAAATCTCTGCATTATCATTTGCCTACGCCTTGTTCTAAATGGGAAAATAGGTATACCTTGGAAAAGTATTTTCACAAACAACAGAAAATGTACCAAGGATGCAAAGCTTCTGGACTTTCAATATAGATTCATTTATAACTGTGTGTTTACAAAAAAAATGTTAAGAATAAATTTGATAGACAACAACGTTTGCTATTTTTGTAAGTTTGAACCCGAGAGTATAATGCATGTCTTTGTTGCCTGTACACGTGTGAAAGAGTTTTGGAATAACTTGGAATTGTACATACAGAAAACATGTCATATTGATGTAAACCTTTCATATTTCGGGGGGATACTGTTGGGTATTGATACTGGACATTCGTTTCT